AAAGGTATTGGCTATGAGGAAAGGTTAAAAAGACTAAGATTGCTTTCACTGGAAAGACAGCGGCTGAGAGGAGACCTGATAGACGTGTACAAAATTAAGAGAGGCATAGCTAGGGTGGATAGTCAGAGGCTTTTTCCCAGTTGAAGTTTCAGTTACAAGGGGCCGCAGGCTCAAGGTGAGAGATCAAAAGTTTAAGGGAGATTTGAGAGGAAAGCTTTTCATGCGGAGAGTGGGAGGAGCCTGGAATGCACTGCCAGAGGAGATGGGGAAGCTGGCACGTTGGCAGTACATTCCACGCTCCTCCTACTCTCTGCGTGAAAAGCTTTCCTCTCAAATCTCCCTTAAAATTTTGCCCTCTCACCTTAAAAGGCATCTGGATGGTTATATGAATGGGGGGGGGGGAATAAAGGGAAACGGACCGAATAAGGGCATAAGCTTTGTTTTTAGTTTAGTCAGGGCATGACAATTGGCAGAGGTTTGGAGGGCTGAAGGGCCTGTTCCTGTGCCGTACTTCTCTTTTTTGTTTGTTTGTAGTCATCCGCCTAAACGTGTGATAGTCTCCATTTCCTTATCAAAACATCATTTTTAAAATTCTGAAATACACTCAGATTCTTCTTCTGTGTACGCTTTTTGACACAATTGCTTCAGTTTTTCATCTTTCTGTTGTAACTCAGTTAATTTCTTTGAACTAAAAATATCCACTTTGTTCTCCACCTGTTCTTGTTTTGTCTCAACCATTTGATCAAACATGGTCTCTGATAATTCTACTTCAACTTCCTTATTTTTATTCTTTGATTTCTTCTTCTGCTTCAGCCTATGGCTTTTTGACCTTGTTATCACACAGTCAGGAAGAATGCCAGGACATACTTCCTGAAATACCTCAGTTGCCTGATTTTCTACTGGCTTTTCAGCCACAGTAGGCAGCACTCCTACCTGTGGTCCAGCTATATCATTACCAAGGACAGATTGTATTCTTGGAGCCAAGAGTTCCTCCAGCACTCCTCCCACCAGTACTCCACTTTTCACCGGACACTCCAACCTCACTTTACATAATGGAGCACTTATTGCCTCACCATGAATTCCACATATTGCCACTTTTCCTGGCAATAATCTTTCCAAATTATATATCTCCTCATCTCTCAATATCAAAGATTGACATGCTCCTGCATCTCTTTAAAGTTGTAATTTCTTTACTTGCTCCTCCTGGCATATGCGAGTAAGCCTTACCCGTGCAAGTAAATGGTTTGAGAAGATCTGGCACTTTTTTCTCAACCAACCTCCAACCAGGTTGTACATTCTGCCACAGCTTTTTAGTCTCCACTGTGCTTTCCTTTAACACTTCAACAAAATCCACTGGCTTATCCTGTTTCCCTATATCCGTCTTTCCAGTGCTTTTTCTAAACCACCAACACTACAATTTTGTGTGGCCTACTTTATTGCAGTAATAACACCTGAGCTTTTTCTGTATTCTTTCCCCTTCATGAGTTTCCTTTTTACCCTATGGTAAACTGTCTTTATTATCTTTAATGAAATCTACTTATCCCTTACCACCTGAGGATTCTTTTTCCCAATTTCTATCCATCACAGATTGAAAATGATATTGGAAACCAAACCTTGATTTTTGAACTAGCTCATAATCATCAACCATTTCAGCTGCTAATCTCACAGTTTTAATTCTCTGCTCTTCCACATGAGTTCTCATTAATTCAGGAAGTGAATTTTTGAACTCCCCCAAAATAATTGTCTCTCTAAAAGCACCATATGTTTGATCTATTTTCAATGCCCTTATCCGCCTGTCAAAATTGCTTTGTTTGATCCTTCCAAACTCAATGTACGTTTGACCAGGGTCCCTCCTTAGATTCCTGGAACATTGTCTGTAGGCTTCTCTCACTAGTAAATCGCTTTCTTCACCTCGTACTCCCCAGATACCTCCTCTGACAGTGATGCAAATACCTCACTAGCTCAACCGACCAACTTTGTTTGCATCAACAATACCTGCATGGTTACCGGACACTTCATTTATTTAGCCACTTTCTCAGATGAAATATAAAAATATTTTACATGCCTGTCGTCAAACTTAGGCAATACTTAGACATATTTTAACAGATCCCCACCAGACCTTTGTTTACGGTGCGTTTGCTCATCATCACTATGCTCCTCACTAAACCTTCCTGCTACCTCCACCTCCACCCTTTTAAGTCAACTTTCCTCTTTAATTGCCAGCTTCTAAAATTCAACTCTCTCTCTTTCTGCTTTTCTTCTGTTTCTTTGGCTAGGGCCTTCCTCTCCTTTTTCCTCTGTTTTTAAAAGTAATTCAAACTGTTTCATTTCTTTTTCATGTTCAAGCTGCTTCACCTGCGATTGAATTCTAGCCATTTCCAAAGATTCCGTTGGCATTTCCAGCAAATGTCAAGCCATTGCTGCAATTACCTCCCCTTTTCTCACAGACAAAGACAACTCCAACACCAGCTTGTCTACCAATTCCAACAGATTTTGCCTTGCTCACTTATTGTAAAACTCCCAAAGTCACTTCTTCCACGCCCAGAAAACTCTTAGTGACCAAAAGAGCCATTACTACACAGGGCACACAATGTTTAAACCAAGCAAATTCAGCACCCAAAACAAAAGGCACTAAAACCTACCACACATCATCTTCGAGTCCAACAACCCTAAACCCAACTTGGAAATATAGATTTCGATCCCAGACGAGCCCCCGATTTGTTATTGACTGGACCAGACCCCCTCAAAATATTTTAAGAAGGTTGCCTAGATTCTAACTTTTTCTCATTTTAAAGGTAGGTGTAAAGTGTATATTCCAGATGTGATGCGACTGGTCAAACTACTTGACATTAAGCAAAACACAATTTATTTAAACACTATTAGTTAAAATATAAACAAAAGAAAGTGGAATTTAGAATAACTTAACCCTTGGAAAACTTAACTGAATAATAGAAACAGTACCCATTACTAATTAACTGTACCAATATAGAAACATTCCAAAAACGCAGCCCTTGGCAAAAAGGTAAATTAAGACACAGATTCTTACAGGCAGTTCTCCAATCCAGGATGAAACAATGTCAAGAAAGATTTCAGAGAAAATTGCAGCTAGGAACCTTTCACTGAAGCTTCAAACATTTCTGGGATCCCAAACAGCTTCTGACTGCTAAAGCTAAAAAAAAGCTTGAAAGCCTGGTTTGTGAGAACTAGCCACTCCCATTCAAGCTGCTTCCATTGTTCCAATTTTTTAAAATAAAACCAAAAGGCTTCCTAAGTTGTTCACTTAGGCTGTCTCCAGTAGCTAAGTCAGCACCTCTGCCTTTACAACCTCTCTTCAACAAAACCCAGGAAAATATAACCTTTCTAAAGTGACAGCATCATTACACTTCCATGTAACCACCATCATTTTGTTCAATTTTCTGAATTCTTTTTTTCTCTGCAAGTGATCTGTGTGATTTACTTTAAAAAGACTTTTTATTGCAAACTTGCTGAAAGTGATCAACAGTGCCATAATTAAGGCATTGAACACCCTCTGCTTGACAATCTTGTTGCCTTTGTAGCTTCCTTGCACCACAACACTAGCTTATCAAGGTGACAGCTAGCATCTTTTCTTCATTTCTGACAGGTTTTGTTTTTGGGCAAAGGAGCCAACTTTATGCCTAACTCACTGACAGGCTCAAACCAAGCCCAAGCCGCATGTCAAATAAACAGATTAGTTTGAAAAAAAACAGTGTACTTTAGACTGATGCGTCCATCATTATCACCGTGTTTGATTGTGGTCTTGTATGAGTTCTTTTGTCTTCAGACAAGCTCAATTCTGACTTCTCAGTTACTGTTAAACAATGTATTGTTACACTGTAAATAAAGATAAGGCTGCAGAGCAGTGTGCTCTGAGATGTACGGGGTTCAGTGTTTTAATAGAGCATGAACATGTGACCATTGAGCTCACAGAGACAGCACTGGTTACCAGAGAGCGTCATCTACTTTTCCTTCAATTCCTATCTCTCCAACTGTGAATAACTTGGTTCTGCGTTCTCCCCAGAAAACATTCTCCTGCACTTTTAAACTCACGGCTACCGTACTGCAGGCCCTGTCTCCATCAACACGTATGGCTCTTGAAAGCTTGATCTCTATTAATCTTCACGTAAACTTCGATGCCCTGATTCCCAGCAAAATCCCTGGGGCTGAACTATTTGTTCTATTTGAACCTCATGCCAATTTATTGATTGAGTAAATCAGACGATTGGATGAATCAAAGTAATTATACAGTAGAGCAAACTAGCTCTTTTCACAAGTAGGGAACAAAGCTGTGAATTAAATCAATACCAAACATGCATTTTGACAAGAAGACAGCAACTCGATTGGTATTTTGGAAGCTAACAATTTATTTTATGGTTTCTGAGAAGCACTAATCTGTTAGGTATCCCTGGAGATATTGCTTTGTGTGACTATTACTCTGAGCTTCTGCCATGTTTAATATTATCCTAAAGATACTACCCTATGTGACCGTTACCCCTGGAGTTACTGCCCTGTAATCATTATCTGTTGATGTCATGATGAACATATGAGTTGAATTTTCATGGTTGGTCTCTGGATATACATATCTCTGAGTGGGTCAGCATTTATTGCCCATACCCGGGTGATACAGTATCCATGCAGATACTGGCCTTATTCTTCTAGATAACAGATGTTTGCTGAAGAGTCTTTGATGTACTACTGCACTACCTCCTGTCTATGGTTCAGTCTTATGCCACTATTTGCTAACAGTGGAGTTGTGAATGTTTAAGATAACAGATGAGATGCAGTAATGTCTTAAGATGATTTTTCTGAGTCTATTACAGGGTTTTTAAAGTTTCTTAATCTTACTGCTCCAATTTTCTTGCACACCATTGAAATCTGCATACAACTAGTTGCAGGAAGGAGCTACTGTGTGCTAGTTCATTTTATTTTGAAATTCCTGCCCATGTTTCTTGTTAGTATTCACTGTTGGTTTCTCTTTACAGTTGGGTGCCAATGGGTACTTTTTTGCTATCGATCCAAATGGGTATGTCTTGTTGCACCCAAACTTACAGCCAAAGGTAAGAGATTTCAGGAGTGGTTCAGTCCAATGTCTCTAACAGTCCGTGAAACTCAGCTGTAAAGATACATGAGCTTCTTAAACGTCTACCTACTTGGATAACATTCAGGATTCCACCCAAACTCCAGTGACCCAACCAATGCTTCACTCAGGGACCTATTTCACAACTTAGGCGTGGGGTGTGTCCATCATCTTTAATTTTCCGGCAGTTGGATTTTGATAGTGGTTATTGAAAGCACAATAAAGGTGTTGATACTCTGCATGTGACTGACGCTTGCTATTGTCTCCTGATACCTTTTCCACCTGACATCCATGACAGAGAAAAACATTTTAATGCAAATGCTCTGATCCGTCCCTTCTTGAGGATACACATATAAACCGTAGAATAAACCACAGTGAGAGGTCCCTGGACAATTAAAGCAAGATGACAGAGAAATATTCACTTTTAACTCTCTGTGATAGTGGTCATCAACATAATGGCGTACATCATCTTTTACCTGGTTTTCATTTCTAGATTATAAATTTCCGAGAGCCAGTGACTTTGGATTTCCTGGATGCGGAACTGGAGGATGAAAACAAAGAACGGGTAAGGAATGATCTCTTTTGGTCTCAAGTGAAATATAAAAACATAATATAAAGTACAAAGAACAATACAGCACAGGAACAGGCCCTTTGGCCATCCAAGCCTGCGCTGACTCATTTTGCTCTTCCATACTAAAACTGTCTTCACTTACAGGATCCGTATCCCTCTATTCCCTTCCTATTCATGTATTCATCCAGGTGCTTCTTGAATGCTGCTATTATGTCTGCTTCCACCACCACCTCTGGCAGCACTCACCACCCTTTATGCGAAAAAGCCTGCCTCACACATCTCATTTAACACCCCCTCCCCACACCCGCCGCACCTTGAACCTGTGTGCCCTAGTAATTGACCCCTCCACCCTGGGAAAAAGCCTCATACTTTCCACTCTGTCCATGACAATCATAATCTTATAAACTTCTATCAGGTCGCCCCTCAACTTCCTGTGTTCCAGTGAACACAAGCACAGTTGATCCAACCTTTCTCCGTAGCTAAAATCCCCCAAACCAGGCAACATTCTCATAAACCATTACTGTACCCTATCCAAAGCATCTACATCCTTCTGGTAATGTAGTGACCAAAAATCCTTGTATTCAATGCCCCTTTCAATGAAGGCAAGCATGCCATAAGCCTTATTTACTACCTTATCTACCTGTGCTGCCACCTTCAGTGATCTGTGCACCTACACACCCAGATCCATTTGCACGGCAATACTCCTAAGGGTTCTCCCATTCACTGTCTAATTTCCGTCTATCCTTGACCTTCCAAAATGCATCACCTCACGTTGTTTTGGTTTAGCTCAATCTGCCATTTTTCTGCCCATGCCTCCAACTGACCTACATCCTGCTGTATCCTCTGAAAATCCTACTCACTATCCACAACTCCACCAATCTTTGTACTAATTAACCAGCCCATGTTTTCCTCCAAATCATTTATATAGACCACGAACAGTAGAGGTCCCAGCACTGATCCCTGGGGAACACCACTAGTCACAACCTTCCATTCTGAAAAACATCCTTCCACCCATATCCTCTGTCTCCTTTGACTAAGCTAGTTCTGTATCCATCTTGTCAGCTCACCCCTGATACCATGTGACTTCACCTGTTATACCAGTCAGCCATGAGGGACCTTGTCAAAGGCTTTACTGAAGTCCATGTAGACAACATCAACCACCTTCATCACCTCCTCAAAAAACTTGATCAAGTTAGTGAGGCATGACCACCCCATGCTAAACCAAGCTGTCTACCACTAATAAGTCCATTCGCTTCTAAATGCATATAGACTTTGTCCCTGAGAACCTTTTCCAATTTCCCTACCACCGACATGAGGCTCACACGCCTGTAATTTCCTGGATTATCCCTGCTACCCTTCTTAAACAATGGGACAACATTGGCTATTCTCCAGTCCTGTGGGACCTCACCTGTGGCCAAACAGGATACAAAGATGTCTGTCAATGCTCCAGCAATTTGTTCTCTTGCTTCCCTCAATATTCTGAGACAGATCCCATCAGGACCCAAGGACTTAGCTACCTTAATACTTTTTAAGACGCACAACGCCTCTTCCTTCTTAATAGCACCTTGGCTTAGAAATTCCACACTCCCTTCCCTGAGATCATCCGCCACCAATTCCTTCTCTCTGGTGAATACCAACACAAAGTATTCATTTAGGACCTCGCGTACCTCTTCTGGCTCCACATACAGATTTCCTCCTTTGTCCTTGAGTGGACTAACCCTTTCCCTGGCTACCATTTTGTTTTTTATATATGTATAAAAAGCCTTGAGATTCTTCTTAATTCTGTTTCCTAACGACCTCTTTTAGCTCTTCTAATTCCTTCTTTAAGTTCTTTCCTACTTTTCTTATACACTTCAAGGACTTCATCAGTTCTCATCCTCCTAGATCTTATGTATGCTTCCTTTTTCTTTTTGACCAAGGTCATAACATCCCTGGTCATCCAAGGTTCACATAACTTGCCACACCTATCCTTCATTCTCGCAGGAACATGCCGCTCCTGAATTCTTATCAACTGCCTTTTGAAATACTCCCACATGTCCAATGTGGATTTACCCTCAACCAGCCACCTTCAATCAAAATTTTCCAGTTCCTGCCTGATATTGTTGTAGTTCGCCTTCCCCCAATTTATCTGAGGACTGCATTATCCCTATCCATGAGTATCTTAAAACTTACAGAATCATGGTCACTACTCCTGAAATACTCACCACTGAAACTTCACCCACCTGTTCGGGCTCATTTCCAAAAACCAGGTCCAGTATAACCCCTTCCCTGGTTGGACTGTTTACATATTGTGTCAAGAAACCCTCCTGAATGGTCCTTGCAAATTCTGCCCCATGCAAGCCCCTAGCACAAAGTGAGTCCACAACAACCCTGCCGTTTTTACATCTTTCTAAAATCTGTCTACCTATTCTCTCCTCTATCTCCCGTTGGCTGTTAGGAGACCTGCAGTATACTCCCAGCATTGTGATTTCACTTTTCCTATTCCTGAGTTCTACCCATATTGCCTTGCTGCACGAATCCTCTGATGTATCCTCCTTCAGCACAGGTGTGAGATACTCCTTTACCAGTAATGCAGCTCCCCCACCTCTTTTACATCCCTTTCTATCACACCTGAAACATCTAAATCCTGGGACATTCAGCTGCAAACCCTGTCCGAAGTTTCAGGCAAATCTCTGTAATTGCAATAATACGATTGTTCCAAATACTAAGCAATGCTCTAAGTTCATCTACCTTGCCTATTTCTCACATTGAAGCACGTGCATTTCAGACCACTTCCCCTGCTCCTTTCAGCAGTGTTTCCCTGCCTGTTCTTGTTCTTAGTAATGTTTGTCTTGGTTTCTACCTCTCCCTCAATTTCTGTATCTATTGCCTACTCCTCTGGTTCGCATCCTCCTGCCACACTAGTTTCAACCCTCCCCAACCACCCTACCAAGTATCCCCACCAAAGACGTCGGTCCCGGTCCTGCCCAGGTGTAACCTGTCCAGTTTGTACAGGTCCCACCTTGCCCAGAACTGGTTCCCAATGCCCCACGAATCTGAAACCCTCCCCCTCACACAATCTTTTCAGCCATGTGTTCATCCTATATATCCTGCTGTTTCTACTCTGACTAGCTTATGGCACTGGTAGTATCCTGAAGTTCTACATTTCAACTTTCTTCCTAGTTCTCTATATTCTGCTTTTAGGACCTCATCCCTACATTTTACCTATGTCTTTAGTACCAGCGTGAACTATGACCATTAACTGTTTGCCCTCCCCCTCCAGAATGTCCTGCAGTCGCTCCAAGACATCCAGGACCCTGGCACTAGGGAGGCAACACACCATCCTGAACTCTTGTTTGCGGCCACAGAAAGGCTATCTATTCCCTTTACGATTGAATCCCCGTTGGCATTTCTATCCCTATTTCTCCCTCTCTCTGCAGCAGAGCCAACCATGACGTCATGGTTGCTGTTATCCACTGAGGGGTCATTCCCCTCAACAGTATCCAGAACAGGGGAGTAGCTGCAAGAGATTCCTACAATGCCTGCTTAGCCCTCCTGTTCTGTCTGGTGGTCACCCATTCCCTTCCTGCCTGCGGAGTCTGAGTCTGTGATGTAACCACCTCTCTATACATGCTATCCATGACATTCTCTGCTTCGCGAATGCTCCACAATGTACCCAGATGCCACTCCAACCCCGAAACCTGGGCTTCCAGGAGCTGCAGCTGGAGACACTTCTTGCACATGCACTTATTGTGCCTGGCTTCCCACATCGAGCAAGAGGAGCAGACCACGATTTGGAGCTCTCCTGCCATGTCTTAACCCTTTAACTTAATTAATCCTTACAATGTCATACTTTTAATACTAAATTGAAGCTGCTAGTGCAGTCTGCTCTGATAACAATTTCTCAAAACCTACCTGCTCCTCACCAATAACAGTTTCCATAAGCTGTTTAGGCTCGTGCTCCTTTACCCACTGGAACTTTCACTGCTGACGTTCCTCTCGCATTACTCTGTCTCCTCTCCTCTAAACCTTGCCTCTTCATTTTCTTTTGGTTAGAGGAGGAGGGAGGGATGGAAACATGGTGGCTCAGTGGTTAGCACTGCTGCCTCACAGCACAAGGCATCCAGGTTCAATTCCACCCTCGAACGACTGTCTGTGTGGAGTTTGAACATTCTCCCTGTGTCTGCATGTATTTCCTCCGGGTGCTCTGGTTTCCTCCCACAATCCAAAGATATGCAGGTTAGATGGATTGGCCATGTGAAATTGCCTATAGTATCCAAGGATGTGCAGGCTAGGTGGGTTAGCCATGGGAAATGCAGGGTTATAGAGGCTGGGGCTGGGTCTGGGTATGATGCTTTTCAGAGATCAGTGTGGACTCGATAAGCCAAATGACCTGCTTCCACGCTGTTGGTTTTCTATGGTTCTATGATTTACTACAGTAATGTAATGTTTGGGGCTGACCGCTCCTTAACACTAGGTTCTTCCATGAAGTCTTCTACACACACGCTGACTGCGAAGTCCACTTCCAGAATGCAGATGAGTAATGTCTCAGCACCCTTAGACAATATCCCAGACTTTCAGTCAGCCTTCACATCTCACCATTCAACAAATAGAGAGAACTATTCTTTCAAGGCATCAAGCATCTTATTTCCTTCTATTGTTTTACATCCTTCTTGACCCCTGCTCTGAAAAGAACCAGAGAGAACTCTATATCTGATTACTCTTTTTTTCTTCCTCTGATATTATGATGGAGTTTTTTTTATTCAACGTTCCTTACCTTCAACCAAATATAACCTGCCTATGTATTGACCAAGATTGTGTTGGTAGTTAACATGCATATCAACTGACAATTTCTTGACATTGGTATTGATGTCAACAAATTTTCAGTTGTTCTTATGCTTTTCAATCAAATGATGTCATACTCAAAGTATGTTCTGATAAATACTTCTTACTTCTGATTTTACTCACCATTATTTCCATCATGTTAGAAACAGGCAAAGAAATTCTGTGTGAATCACAGATGAATGTTAGAATTGCCAGATGTACCAATAATTTATAAATCCATACCACATATGTGACACTTCTGATGCCATCAGCAGCCATCTCCTGTACGGACTGCATTCTATCACTTTGGAAGGAGATTACAGTTTCACATGCGGTCATTTTTGTTTGCTCTATTCATCATCGGTTATGCAGATCCGGAGGATCATGATCGATGGGAAGAGTGGGACAAGTGACATCCAAACTCTACTCAAATCCCTGGATGAGGTAAGTAGATTATTACCTGTAACAATTTGTAACTCCATGTCTTCTTCTTAAACTTCAAAATGGTGAATAATGCCAATTCGATCAAATAAAGACCGTATCCGAGCATTCACTAAATGACCTTGCCTATTTATGGGAATTATCTTACATTTAAAAAAAATTGAAAGGTATAGACAGAGATCTGTTTTTGCACCCACTTTTTCCAACTACTGAGGGCTATAATAAGTGAAAACAAACACCTTACTTGTGTGGTAACAAGGTGTAGAGCTGGATGAACACATCAGGCCAAGCAACATCAGAGGAGCAGGAAGGCTGACGTTTTGGGCCAAGACCTTCTTCAGAAATGGGGGAGGAGAAGGGGGTTCTGAAATAAATAGGGAAAGAGGGGGAGGAGGATAGAAGATGGATAGAGGAGAAGATAGGTGGAGAGGAGACAGACAGGTCAAAGAGGTGGGGATGGAGCCAGTAAAGGTGAGTGTAGGTGGGGAGTTAGGGAGGGGATAGGTCAGTCCAGGGAGAACGGACAGGTCAAGGGGGCGGGATGAGGTTAGTAGGTAGGAGATGGGGGTGGGGCTTGAGGTGGGAGAAGGGGATAGGTGGGAGGAAGAACAGGTTAGGGAGGCAGGGACGAGCTGGGCTGGTTTTGGGACGCGGTAGGGGGAGGGGAGATTTTGAAGCTTGTGAAGTCCAATCAATGTCCAATGTGTATCAGCTTGGCCAAGTAACAGTCCAATCAACGGCTAACCCAGGCAGATACTGTGTTTTGTGTGATGGTAATGCTAACCTTCAGTAGAAACTGATGAATCCTTCTTCTGTCCTAGCAGAACATAAGAACATTTTAAGAACTCAAAACATTATTGCTTAATCTGATAAAACAATGTGTAGAAATACTCAGCAGATCTGACAGCATCTATGGTGAGAAAACAGAGTTAACATTTCAGGTCAATAACCTCTTGCTAGAACTGGGAAAATTTTGAGATTTAAGAGGCTTTAAATAGAGGTAAGATTAGTGTGGATGACAGGAGAGATTTAATAGCAAAAAGGATGTTGGTGCAAGGCAAAAGGAAATACTAATGAGACAAGATGGGACTAGAGAGATGGAAATAGCAGAATCATTAAGAACAACATGCTGTCTGCAAAGATGGAGGACACATCTAAAGTCAATTAGCTCACGCCAAGAGTAGATTGGTTCACACCCAGAGTCAATCAGCTCACATCTAATTGCCCAGAGGGAAGTTAACCACTTTGCTTTCAGTCTGGAATCACATGTAGGCCAGACAATGTGAGGACAGCAGTTTCCTTCCCTGAAGGATATAGTGAACCAGATGGGAATTTTCCTGACAATCGACACCAGTTTCACGGTCATCAAATTAAATTCAAATTTCGCCATCTGCCATGGTGGGATTTGAACTTGGGTCCCCATGATCTCTGTATTATTAGGTCTAGCAATAATACTACTAAGCCAATGCCTCTTAATAATAGACTCAGTTTGTTAACTCTGTTTTTATCTCCATTGATGTTGCCAGACCTGCTGGATTTCAGAATTACAGCATCCTGCAGTATTTTGCTTTTATTAATGAAGACTGGTAGATGGGGCCTAGTTGGGTCTGACAAAGCAGAACTCCTTCAGACTGTCCTGGTAGAACTACAGAATGATTAGAATCCCATTGTGAAAAGGAGACAGGCCAGAAAACTGGCCTAACCCAAGTATCCTCTTTGCGTTAGATCAGATGGCCATTGCTGATTGTTGAGTTCACGCTCTGTGTAAATAACTGCTGAATATTCCACATAGCTCTGAAGCCTTAAGTGTGTGAAGGGTTGAGTTTTAATGAGACCAATGACAAAGTGCTTTATATGTCACATCCTTCTTTGTCACCATCCCTATAATGCACAGCTTGATAGTAACATCTCTAAACAAGGTGGTGGACTCAATATGATCAATATTCTGATTTTTTTTAACTAAACCTCCATCTCAAAAAAAAGTATTTGGATGTTCAAGGGGAAAGAAGGAGCTGGGTTAGCAATGTGATAATTTCCCCAGTCATACACAGTTTATGCTTAAAGCCAAGTTTCTATTCAAAGGAAATGTACCATTGATTTCTTTGGGGAATGTGAAGCTTTACATGCTATGTGCAGTGAACTGGAACCTTGGGGATAACTGTCTGAAACTTTGCATTTCCTTGTCAAAAGCACTGAAAGTACTAAGATATGGAAGGGTTGTCATCTTATGATAAGAGATGGATCAGTGGGACTGTTTCACAACTTGGATGAACACTTGAAGTATCATAATGTTCAAGGCCATGGGCCTCCTGAGGGAAAGTGGGACTAGTGTAGGTCGTAGTGTATTTTGGCCTCATCTGTACTGTATGCTTCTGTGACTCTGTGGTTATTGTCACAAGCTGTCTCAAAGATTCACATAATTTATGTGAAATCTAATGTGTTGCCAGGTTAAAATCTCACATTTGAGTACACATCTAACACTGTCTTGCTGTCTTCCTTTCTGCAGAGATATATTGATGAAGTAACTCGGACGTACACATGGACCCCAGTGCAAAGTGCTGATTACAGGTAATAAATGTGTTGTCATCCATCAGCCTGGGATTGCACATTCCCAGTAGCATTACAGCCACAGTTTGCCCTATAACCTTTCCCCATTGCAAATAACAATGATGAAAGCTGCAGAGATGACCTATTCACATAGGTATGTGGTACTTCTGAATGTGATATTTGTCCTTTGCTCTATATATTTCATGGTCAATGAAACATGCAAATATGATATCAGACAATGTGACACTTCAGAACTTCCGTTATTGGGTTGTGTCTCGATCTGGAATGACAATAAAGGTTTACTATACAGTCATAAGATAGCACATTACAATAGATTAAGACCAGTTAACCACATTCACTGATTCAAGGTGTGTGTATCTCCTATGAGACAGAAGCTAGATGGTTTAAACTACGGAGTCTAACAATAGACTGGAGCAGACAGCAGACACGCACGACAGACAATTCTCAGACAGTCCAACTGTCTTATACAACAAACTGGATCCCTGATTATCCAGCACTCCATGATTTGTGCTCAGAGTTCAGTGTATTAATTTCCCCCAGTCTTGACTCAGTTAAAGTATTTGACAGGTTGACTGGGATGCCACACACAAATACTAGTGTTGTAGGTAAGGACACTTGTTACAGCTGAATATGTGAAATACTTTAGAAATTACTAAATTTTCCCCAGATGTTAGTCCCACATCTCAAACAAACAGAAATGGCTCAGACCAGTTTCAAATGTGATATTGCCTCTTCATTCCCTTTGCAGCCTGGCCTTGGTGTTGCCACCGTACAGCAGATATTATATCCAAGCAAAGTTGGATGACCAAATCCTTCAAGCTCAGTGTAAGTACCTGTTGTCCAATCTATTTATCCTCTTGTTTGACCTTGAAGCTGCAGACACCCCAGCTGTCACTGGGCTGTGGAAAACTTTACTGCACTGACAGAAAGCAAGTTTCCCTAATCAGAATCAGAGTTTAACCAATTACACCACAGTCACCTTTCTGAAATTGGTGAAACTCTATATTTTGTTCAGCAAAATAAAACCCGCAAAGTCAAAATAAAATTAATAAATGATCCAGCTGGCTATGAAGCAAAAGTCAAGCTCTCCTTTCCTTGCTTTCTTCCGGAATATACAATGATTCTGAAGCAGCAAACCACACAGAGACTGTGAAAATGTGCATGCTTTTCACTATGTTCTACTTGGATTTCAGTTTCTTTCTTGCATTTTTGTTTGATTCTGTTGTTTTGTTTCCTTTTGTTTTTCTCTTTAATTTCTGGATTATTTGGACTTGCCTTGTTCTGTTTGCTGAAGCTTTAGAATCATTTGCCCTTGGCTATCGCATGCTAGCCTTGTGTGCAGAGCACCTAGAGCTATCGGTCTAGATGTTTGCAACTGTTTGTTTGCTCTTTTGATATATTTTTATTTTGTCAGTTGCAAGATTCTCAGTATATTTATACACAATATTTTTATTCAAATAGTAATTGAATAAAATATTGTTTGTGACCCCCTTCCTACCCAACCCCTTTTTTTCTGCTTTCTCTCTCTATGATGGATTCACACAGTCCAAAACAACAACAAGGGCAAGTATCTGAATATTGGTCCCCTCCCATCCCACCCTCTTTGTTCAGTGCCTATCCCCCACTGTACCCAGCCTGCTTGCCCATTTACCTGCCCGTCTGACCCCTTCTCAAATTCCTTATCTAACCCTATTGATGCAATGTCTTGTTATGTCCACAATGGCTTACAAATTTCCTTTGCATTGCTCTGAATATCTTCCCTCTAGATATCTGCTTCCTATTGTATACAACTTTAATGTCCTGCTTTCTCTGTCTCTCCCCTCTCTTTTTCTTCCTTTCTCTCACTTCCTTCCTCACTAACTAACCCACCCCTCCTCAATGATACTGAAGAGATATCAGTGCTGTTTGGACCCCACCCATCCACTTCCTCCCTATTAGCCTGTAACTGGACCCTATGCTCCACCCTTTCAAAACAGAGTTTGATTGTCTCCATGTAATTTAAAGAGTTTGGCCATGTTGGTGCCTTATGAGTGACGTTCAGTTACTGACTATAATCGGTGCAGTGGAAGATGTTGAAAAAATGCAATTGGTAATCAATTAAACAGTATTTCTAGTCTTTAAAAAAGAATTACCTCTTTTATTGGCTGGTATTTTGGACTTACCATGTTCCAGAATGTAAAAATTGTCTGTTTTCTGGGCAACATAGTGGCTACAACTACTCTCCTGAGATATGCTTCGACCCTGCAGATCAACCTCTTGATCTTCTTATTTTTAAGAGTTGTGTAGTTTTTTCTCCGCTCCTGTGCTAATGATAACATGTCTGAGACACTGCAGGTGTGAGCTACACCTCCCCCTCGCCAGTAGTTCCCAGATAATGTTCCTTTTTATTGCAGATTTTGAATCCTTGTTACCCAGCTCCTTTGAGACCGTGGGACATGTATTCATTGCTCCCAGGTAGCTGTGTGTGTGTGTGCGCGCTTGCCCATTTGCTTCATGCTGTACACTCATTGTGCCATATGCATCACCTTGCTGCCCAGATCTGACCATGACGTAAATCAGTCAATACTCCTTCCTATCACCATTGCCCTCCACCCACCCACACTCCAACCTGAGCTGCATTGCTATGTCTGCCTTTGTAATGAATATCTATCTCTCTGCTCTGGCGTAGTCTCTTCCCCATTATGAAATCACTGATAATGCACGAGCTTCCAGGCTGTGATGGCCCTTTCCTGAAGGCTCCTACCACTGCATGGCATTCATCTGTGGCAGTACAACTCCTGGCTGTCTGTGTGTTAAAGAATAGGGAACTTCCTGCAGCATGATTCCTTTTCATGTTACTGTCCCATCCTCGTACAGGAGTGACACCCTAGGGGTTTGAGGATGAGGGCTTGTCACTGTCTCTTTCACCCAGTGTCCACTTTACCCTCATGGAATGTGTTTACACTTGGATTTCCTCCTAGGGAATACTGCAAGGATCTTGTCAAGTCAGACAACAACACAGAGTTGTTATTCAATTTTATCAGTCTGATGGATAAGAACACTCCTGACTACAAGAACTGTGAGTACAGCAACAGTCTCCAGGGGCAGGACCCCTCAACTACCTGTCAGCTCATGGATGCTTCATTTTCTGGTTTAGTTATTACATTATTTAGATGTTTTAAAAGATGCAGCCTTGCTGTTCCCCCCATGGGTCTACTGTGTTTCACTTACATTTAAATAAAGGATTGGATGAAAATGTTGTAAAAATTCTCATGAAGAGAATTCTCTTTTGGAGATTGAATTCTAGATCTTAAACGGAAAATGTTTTAAGGTACTGATACTGAATATGTGCATGGGATGTTTTCTGATTTTTGAAATTTCTCTAAAATCCTGAGCAATTGTTGAACAATGTGTGGAATTTAGGATGTAATTTTAAGTAATGTGTCAGCATGTTGTTGTGATCTCCATGGACACCAGTAACCTCCCTACCAGAAAGTTTTGACATTGATTACTGTGTTTGATGCACTCCAAATGTATCAGTGCTTTGTTTGAAATTGAATTTAATTTTAAGGTTTAATTTGGAAGAAGTCCTGATTGCAGGCAATCATAATGCAAGAGTCAAAAATAATCACACCTTCTTAAATTTGTCTAAGGATGTGTATAGGCATCCAAATGCTGCTTCCTATAGGTTATGATTTAAACAAAAATAAACAAATATTACCACCTATTTTCCAGAATTTTTCACAGTAGTGTGTTTTTCTCACCCTTTCCATTTCCACTGGAAGGCTACCCTTTCATCTGTTCATTCTCCAGGGCTTGTGCCCACAGAGTGACCAACTCTGGGGGGAATAAAGGTAGAGATACTTTGTTGCAGGAGTGGGGATGGGGGAGATGATAAACATATAGACAACAATGTAAGTAACAATGTGAATGCAGCAACATTGGAAGAAGTAAGAGTGCAGTGGAATTATGTTTAAAATTATAAAATAAAAAGTAAAAGCTAGCAACTCACCAACTTGCTAAGGCTACTTTGACACCTTCCAAATCCGTGATCTCTATCACCTAAAAAGACAAGGTCGTCAGATGCATGGGAACACCATCACAGACATATTCCCCTCCAAGTCATACACCATCCTGACTTGAATTGCCATTTCTTCAATGCCACTGGGTCAAAATCCTGGAAGCTCCTCCCTAACAACACCGTGGATGCACCTAGTACCCAGAGTATGCAACAGTTCAAGAAAATGCTCACCACTGCTTCCTCCAGGGCAGTTAATGATGCGCAATAAATGCTGGCCTAGTAGTGATGCTCACCATCACATGAATGAATTTTAAAAATTATAATCGTACCATATCAACTATAATAACTAATTATTATAATGATTTATACTAATATAATTGACAATAATAACAGTATAATAATTGCTGTAGTGTTTATGCGACTGCATGCAGTTGAGACTTTGAAAAATATCTAAGACTCCTTGTAATCTGTAGCTAGTTTCTTCCTTGATTGTTTCTTGGCTGAGGAATTGCTTTTATTCTTTTAATTTCAGCTTAGTTCCTTGTAAATGGATTTCAAGTCATTTCAGTCAAACATTGCAGGTTTCAGCAGTGCAATCTCATTTCAGAGTTGGTAATTTAAGTAGATCACTGTTAACTGGAATAATGACTGGTTGATCACTTTGGAACATGGATTATCATAAATGAGTGTTGTCAAACATTGAATGATGTCAGAATTGTTTGGTGGAACTAAAAGAACCAAACTTATCAAACAACAAATGGAAGAAAACAATAGAAAAGATTTCACAGTTGTAACTTTAACAATCAAAAATAATTAAGAACGAATTAACATGCAAATTGTGTTCAGTCGAAGCTATAAATTATACTTTAAAAAATTGATACAACAAAGATAGATTTCACAGACTTATTGGCAGTCCATTTAAAATCTTTAACATGTACAGCCAAAAAATCCTTCACGCCCTGTTTTCCTCAGGTAGAGTATGACACCTTTTCCTTCACTGTGTTTGGTCATTTGGTCAGCGTTCAGCCTTCAGTGGCAGCTTTACTTGATCCAAGCTCCACAGTCATCACCAAAATGGCACACTTCTTACTTTGGGCAAAGCACTGCTGATGGTGAAGATAACTGAAGCAGTGACAATAACTCGTATTACACTATACCTGCTGCTAAATCCAGTATTCTGGTTTCATTCCTTTCAACTGTCAAGCACACATAACTTTCCACTGACTTCTTGTTTTGAAATGTTCAGATCTCCGTGTGTTTTCATTTTAGATTCAAACAATCTTCATTTCCCTAGTACACCAAGATCACAATCTGATTTCCCAGACTGGGTTTCAAAGTTACCATACCACTTATCCAGAAACTGACATTTTAGTTTCTGTTTCTGCTGAGGACTATATCAAACAATACTGGCTCTGAAACCAAACTCATTGCAGACAGCAGCTCAGACATACTTTTCCCCTGGTTTCATAAATTGTGTATTTCATCACGATTCGAAAGCATGAATGGGTTTGATAGAGTAGATAGGGAGAAACTGTTTCCATTCTCAAAAAGAATTGAGAACCAGAAGCACAGATTTAAAGTGATTTGCAAAAGAAGCAAATGTGAGGTGCAAAAACCATTTTTTACACAGTGAGTAATTAGTGTATGCAGTGCACTGCCTTGAAGTGTAATGGAGGCAGATTCAATAGAGGTGTTCAAGAGAGTATTTGGATGATTGTTTAGATAGAAATAATATGCAAAGATTATAGGGAGAAAGCATGAAGTTAGCACTAGGTAACGGTGTTCATCTGAAGAGCAGGTGCATACAGGTTGGACCAAAAGGCCTCCTTTTGCACCAGATGCTCCTGTGATGTTTTAAATATCATATTTGCCCACATTATTCTGAAGTCCAGATGTTTGGCACATAACTTTAGCAGGCCGTAGCAGTAGGACTTGTCACTGGCATTCATGTCATTTTCACCCAGAGAAAAGGCTCAGTGATGTGAACATTGTTGTAAGGTGGCCTTTGCACGAGAGGATGAACATAATAATAATAAAACATAATAAAGAAGGAGCATACATTCATGTGGATAGGTGTATTGTTCACCAGATAGGCTAATATGTGCTAAATATTGTCTATGATAAATTACAAATAATTATGTCCCCCTGTGGAGTTCTCAACTGATGTGGCTAAACGTGACCCTTCTTGCAGTTTGCCACAACATTGGCCAAAAATGCTTTACCCCATCTTTTCTCAATTCAGAATCCCTTTGCTATTTGTTTAATGTCCGGAGTTAATTAAGAGTAAATGACCATTTTGTACTGATCATGGTGTCGTAAAGCAGGCTACACTAGTGGTCAATCTGCACTCCAGATGCATTGATTATGCATGTAGCAAACAGGGTAGTTCTATCTCCCATCCACATGAGCTTAAACTCACAGATCTCTGATCAAGAACTCAATGAATTGCACAAACTACAGCTGTCAATGTGTTTTGTATTCTAAACAAAAAAAAATCTTTAACTATTCCCTTGTTAGACTTCATACAGTCTTTATTCATTTAGGCCCATCTCCTGAATGTTCATACCACAGTTGATCTGGAATCTCTGACTCAGTTGGTAAACTAAGCTATGGAGGGCCCAAAGCTCCTGATGTGTCTGTGCTTAACGACCTTCCTTGTATATTCCAAGTATTCAAAATTGAACCAGGTAATTTGTAAGATTTTGGGTTCACTGTCACTTTAATTATAAGACCTAAATTAAATCTAAACAGGTCCCTTTACCATCCCAATAACACAATGCCACCTTCGTGAATTATGCCCTATCCAGGTCTGAGAGGTATTTCACAATCAATGAGGCCCCAGCACAGTAAGGTATCACATTAGTCCAAACCAGTTCAAGCAGAGAATTCTGAAAAGATCAATGAAAAGAAGCTCACCACAATGTAAAGGCTCAAAATAAAGTGCAGGGACAGAGAAAGGAAGGAAAATATCCTGCATTTATTTGGAACCTTTCATGACAACAGACTATTCCAAAGTGCTTTACAGCCAATTAAATACATTTGAGAAATACTCACTGGTATGATGTGGGAAATAGCAAGCTCCACTAACATCAACCATCTGAACGTACAAAGATTCAAAAGGATATTCTGGAGATATGGAATGGAAGAGCAAGAATGGGATTAGATCCAATTGCATGAAACTCTGAGCAACTTATTATTGGAATGATACTTGAACCATGATAAGGTGCAGGAATACTTTGAGGAATGTGAGAGCATGGTTATGAAGAAAGACCTGTACCAAATGGGACCTTCTAACAGAAACACAAAATGATTTTCAAAATTCCGAAACATTTTTGAGACTACAAATGGAGAAAGATAAAGGAATCGTAATTCCGCATTGACCCTTCTAATATAATTCTTTGAGTATTCTAAGTAATTCTTCTCTCTTTGCCATCTGTAGTGCAGGTGAGAGAGTGCAGACAATTCTTCAACAATGCGTACTAGCTGTTACGGAAGATAAACTAATCAGCTTGATTGCCCTTGTCCTTCTCAGCTAAAGCTACTGGTAATTGAAACTTTCAGAACAGCCTCCTCCACTGCGATAAGTTCGATGCAGTTCTAAAAAAATCCTCTCCCACCTTCTAACCCTCCATCCTCCTGACCTGAAAACAATCGTCAGTGTACCAAGAACAGAGTTGTGGGATAGGGCCAGTGTAGGACTGGAACAAGGATTGTTCCACATTACCCATAAAAAAGCAGGCATAACTGGGTTCCCATGCAGGTGCCGATAGCCACACCTTTGACTTGGCAGAAGTAGGTTGAATTAAAGGAGAAATTGTTCAGTGAGAGAACAAGTTCAGCCAAGGGGAGGAGAGTGGTGGCGGATGGGCATTATTGAGGCCTCTGGTCCAGGAAGAAAATGAGAGCCCTCAGACCATCCTGGTGGGAAATAGAGGTATAGAGGGATTGGACATCCATGGTGAACAGGAGGCAGTTAGGGCCAGGGAACTGGAAATTGTCAAGATGGTGGTGGGCATCAGAGCATTTTCAGAAGGGGTCAGGTTAGAATGGGTGAAAGGAGCAGAGAAATTGAGACAGCCGATGTCACATCGGCAGTTTTCAATGAAGAGATCGAGCGCAGGTAAGAGACCAGGGGAAAGGGTCCAAGTGGAGAGTGAATACCCTCCTAACCCAAAGCTTACTGATCTATCCCTCACTCCTTGCCAATGTTTGCTAAATGATATTACAGATTTGTGTTTCCTCATTTTGCTGGGATATGTGATTAACATCATTTGCTGGATCAGTTGAAGGATAAGGTTGCTTTCTCAAAAGGTGGCTGTCCAGGCTTTTCTCAAATCTTAAAGACCATGGAAGTACCAATGGGGTTCGGCATCCTATGTACTCCAAGGGTACCTGACCTTCTACGTCACTTAACTTCTCTTTATCTTCATGTAGACAGTGGAGTTATGAAGCAATGCTTGTTGGGAGCATGCACCCTGTTATTAATATCCTGACATTAAATCCTAGTCTTTATTGAGGGCATCTGTTTTAATATCAGCTCTTGCAGTTGTTCAGGAGAGTTCTACAATTTACTGCTTTGTTCAAATGTCAAACTATGTCTTGTAACACATTCTTTATCCAAGTGGAAAACAGAGCATAGAGAAGGTTAGAGGTATTGATACAAAGTCTTACAAAACAGTAAATACACTGAGTTTTGTTTAGAGATGCCATGCTCATCTAGTCTAACATCTCAACGCATCTAGGAGATTGGCTGCTCTGATTGAGATGTACCCAATTCCCCACATTTCCTCATAGCCAATTAGTCAATTTACATAGACTGTCAACAATCTGGACAGATGACTACAAACCCCACGACCAAAAGTAACCTCTACTGTGCTGTGTTACTGTAATATCTGACTTTATGCTCCTGATGACTGTAGGAAGGAAAGGTTTCTTCTAAAGCTGTATGTATAGTGACTAGAATACCACTGTCATTCTGATTTCATGGGTTAACCATAATTATTATCCTAACCTTGTAATCTCACTGATTAACGTAATACTAATGGAGTGATCTCATGAATTAACATAACTCACCAATGTCTCTGTAAACTCAATGCTTAACTATTACTGTATAACCTCATGAATACTTTGTGTGGGTCAGATTCATTTTACACTGATCTTCATTTGAAACAAGTGATAATTTTTCCCATGTGTGGATGAACTATTGGGAAGTGCAGGTTAGGTGGATTGGCCATGGGAAATGCAGGGTTACAGAGATAGGGTAGTGGGGCAGGTCTGGGTGGCCTCCTCTTCGGAGGGTCGGTGTGGATTTGATGGGCCAAATGGCCTGCTTCCACACTGTAAGGGTTCTATTTTTTAAAAAGTGACAGGAATGTTTGGAAAAAGATATCCGCAGTGGAATTATATATCTGATCACACTCGTTTAGGATCTAGTTCCACCTTGCCTGCATTCACCTGTTGGTGGATTTCCATTCAGTGAAGTTACTGTAGTCAGATCTGTCAGCTACATGATCTGTTCAAAGCAAGGCGTGGGTTCTCCTCATATAAACTCTCAGCAATCAGTGTTGCTGTTCCTGGTCATTCTGCAGTCATGAAGTTATAACTTGATCAATTAGGAGTTAATGTGAGAAACTGAGGATTTCATAGCCTCGATGGAATGTTCACAGACGTTAAGTCAAGCATTGTCTCACTAGCACTCACCTTGTCTCCATGTTTTTCTAGGTGATTCAGACCTGATCTATAATCTGATCCTGGATTCAGGGGTCACTGCCAAATTAGTGGAGAAAGTCTGGAGGAATCACGACTTGCACACGTAAGTTCCCGGATTTGCTCGGATTATTGAAGCAATTGACAATAATCATTGAGTCATTGCCACAGCAGAGGGCAGAGGTGAGAGTAACAAGGCTGCAGTGTGTGATAGTAACTCCAATAGTAATAGCAACAGGAGACAAGAGGACTGGAGTAAAATTCTTTGTTTACAATCCTTGATTACTTGGCTGGTTAGTTGGTTTATAGAAACATTAGAAGTTCCCAGTATGTTTTCTGTGCTGTGTAGGTATCAAGTTGTCAAAGATTTCAGAACAGAATTAAACTCCATTTATATAGCACCTTCAACATAGTAAAATATACCAAGGAGATTTTTTTTCCTGTCTCTGCAGCTTACGCACAGACAATACCACATCTGAATCTCTCTTACACCAGATTGCTGAAGTATGTGTTGGACCAAGGAGATTTTTTTTAATTATATCATTTGTGTTCTGAACTAATATGGAGTGAAATTTGTAAGACTTCAGTCCTCATCGTTACAACAACCAATTCTTCTGAAAGTAAATACTTTAGTCTTTTAGGCTGTTCACTTGCTCACCAAGCTTGTATGTTTGATTGCAGACATTTTGTCACCCATCTAGGTAACATCGTCAGTGCGCCTCCAGTGAAGCGTTGCTGTTCTGTCCCACTTATTATTTATGTGCCTTGGTTTGCTGGGGTGGTTGACATTATTTCCAGTTTTGTTTTTCAGTGGTTTGTATATCGGGTCCAGTTCAATGTGTTTGTTGATGGAGTTGGAATGCCAGGCCTCTATGAATTTCCTGGCATGTGTCTTGTTTGGCTTGTGCTATTATGGATGTGTTCTCTCAGTCAACTTTTGTCTTTGACTGCTTGAGCAAGTTCATCCAACGGGGGAACCTTGCTTTTTCTGTGTTTTTGACCCAACAAATAAACAAGAATTTATCTTTTCAGCCCCGTGAGCTCGCTTTGTAAACACTTTAGACCAGGACAATGGTGATTTAAAGTCATTTTGTAGAAGAGGATTCAAGTGAGGCACATACAGGAAAATTCAGTGGGAATTTCAGAACTGAGAATCCAGCGATGAATGTAATATTGTTGAACTGAGCACTAACTTGATTTGTTTTTATTCCCCTTCTCTCTCTTTCTCAATTGCCCCCTTCCCGGGTTTTCTCTGTTATCTTGCTTTCTTTTCGGTGTGTGTGTCCTACTGTCTATTTTCATATCTCACATGTTTTGCATTTGTTATGTTTCATTCCCTGATTTTCTGTCTGGCTCTTCATTTTATCGCACCATTTTGTTTCTCTTTTTGTCTCTCTCTCTCTCTCTCTCTATCTATCTATCTATCTATCTATCTGTCAATCTCTATCTATCTCTCCCTCTCTCTCTCTCTCTTTCTCCCTCTCTCTCTGTTTCATATTGCTTCATTCATTGTCTTTCCTGTTCTCTTTCTCTCTTAACTCACTCTCTCCCTGTTGCATCCACTCGTGGCTTTCGTCTTTCCCCCTCTCTTTTCCCGATTTTAGGCTAGGTCTCCTGGCAGTTTTTGTGGCCACTGATGGAGGAATCACAAGAGTTTTTCCAGCCAAGTGAGTATCCATCTCTTCTCAAAACTGACTTGTTATTTATGCAAATGGTACACAGCCCAAAGCAATTTATGGGAAAATAGCTTTAAAAGCAGAAACATTTTGACACAGTAAGCTGATCAAGATTCTGAAGGGGAAACATTTGGAGTTACAAGCATTTTGTTCCTCACAGATACCAACGATATTAGACTGCTCCGTAGAGAGACACTGGCCTTCATTACCACTGAAAAATGCCTCTTGGAGTCAAGCTGTTCTTTTATGCTGCCCTTTGGACTTGCAACTGTCCCTCAACATTATAGTTCATACGTTTCTCAGAATTACACTATTTCTTCTAATAATTGTACTCCTTACATTTAAAGCTGTGGACCCTTAGGTGTTTCGCTGTCTTTCACAGGTATTGCATTAGACTGCCCGGTGCCATTCCAGTCCTTCTTGAAGGTACTGTAAAATTCTTGGAGTTACAGCACACAGTCCTCAGAATTTTACTGTCCCTCAGAATTGCAGTACACTAGCCCTTAGTGTTTCACTATCCCTCAGAGTTACAACACCCTAACACTCAGAATTTCACTGTCCCTTGGAGTTCTTTTTTCTATTCATTTGTGGGATGTGAGCATCACTGGCTGGGAAGCATTTCTTGCCCATCTGTAGTTGCCTTCGAGAAAGTGGTGCTGAGCTGCCTTCTTGAACCCCACTGCAGTCCTCCTGCTGTGGGTTGACTCACAATGCTATTAGGTTATAGCATACTCCCCTTGAAAATGTTACTGCCCCCTCAGAGTTACAACACACCGTCCCCTCAGGGTTACAGCACACTGTCCCTCCAAGTTATACTGTGTCTTGAAGTTACATGTTCTTTGATTTAAAGCACCCCACCCTGGCTTGGAGATTCAGCGCTCCGTCTGTTCAATTTCTAACTGTAAGAGAGTGAGGAGAGAAGGTTAAAAATATTTTCATATTAATTACTGTTTGAATGTAGAATGCTTTGCTTTGGCAATATATTGATGCAGTCAACATTACATCATTTAAAAGATCGCTGATAGATGGAAAAGGAAAGTGGAGTTAATTTTGGAATTCTGGAGCAAAGGGATGACATAGGCATAAGTGCTAGTTTCGATAAAGTTGTGTTCACTTGTTCACTTCCTTGACCCCATCATCCATTGAACAGTGTAATGTTCCTCTTCATTTCTTTTTGCATTTGTTCAAGGGATATTGGATCTTTGATGCCATACTCAATCAAATGTGACCTTGATGTCAGGGGCAGTCACTCTCACCACACCTGTGGATTTCACCTCTTTTGTCCATGTTTTAGTGAAGTCAGGGCTGGGTGGCCCTGATGGAACCCAAACTAGATGTCAGTGAGCAGGTTATTACTGAAAAAGTGCTGCTTGATAGTGCTGTCAATGACCACTTTCTGTCACTTTGCTGATGATGAAGGTTACACTGATTGGGTGGTAATTGACTTGTATTCGTGAAGCCTCCTCCTCCTGTTATTTGCTTAATTTCCCATTCATAGTTGGATTAGCAGGACTGCAGAGCTTAAATCTGACATAGCTTTGTCTATCACTTGCTGCTCTGCTTTTTGGAATGGAGAGTTGTGACTAGTGGTGATCCCCCGGCGTCAGTGCTAGGACCTCTGCTGTTTATGACCTATGTAAATGATTTGAAGGAAATCATGGCTGATCCAATTAGCAAGTTTGCTGACAATACAAAGAGATTGATGGAGTAGCGGATAATGAGGAGGATTGTGAGAGGATTCAGCAGGATATAGATCAGTTGGAGGCATGTGCAGAAAAAGGCAGGTGGAATTTAATCTGAATAAATGTGAGGTGATGCATTTTGGAAGGTCAAGTACAGGTGGAAATTATACAATGAATGGCAGAACCCTTAGGAGTATTGATATGCAGAGGGATCTGGGTGTGCAGGTCCACAGATCATTGAAGGTGATAGCACAGGTAGATAAGGTAGTAAAAAAAGGCCGATGGCATATTCACCTTCATCAGAAAGGGCATTAATTACAAGGATAGGCAAGTTATGCTAAAGCTTCATAGAATTTTAGTTAGGCCACACTTCAAATATTGCATACAGGCATAGGGCGGCATGGTGGCTCAGTGGTTAGCACTGCTGCCTCACAGCACCAGGGACCCGGGTTAGATTCCAGCCTCGGGTGACTGTCTGTGTGGAGTTTGCGCATTCTCCCCGTGTCTGCGTGGGTTTCCTCCAAGTGCTCCAGTTTCCTCCCACAGTCCAAAGATGTGCAGGCTGGGTAGATTGGCCATGCTAAATTGCCCATAGTGTAGATTAGGTGGGTTATAGGGGGATGGGTCTGGGTGAGATGCTGTGAGGGTCGGTGTGGACTTGTTGGGCCAAAGGGCCTGTTTCTACATTGTGATGATTCTTCTTCTATGAGTTCTGGTCACCACACTACCAGAAGGATGTGGATGCTTTGGAGAGGGCATAGAAAAGGTTTGCCCAGGATGTTGCCTGGTATGGAGGATTTTAGCTATGAAGAAAGGTTGAATAGACTGGAGACAGTAGGAACTGCAGATGCTGGAGAATCTGAGATAACACGATGTAGAGCTGGATGAACACAGCCTAGACCCAAAACGTCAGCTTTCCTGCTCCTCTGATGCTGCTTGGCCTGCTGTGTTCATCCAGCTCTACACTGTGTTATCTTAAATAGACTGGATTCGTTTTCACTGGAACACAGGAGGTTGAGGAGCGACCTGATAGAAGTTTATAAGATTGTGACTATCATGGACAGAGAGGAAAGTATGAGGCTTGTCCCCAAGATGGAGGGGTCAATTACTAGGGCACACAGGTTCAGTGGGGGGGGAGGGGTGAGTTGAAGAGAGATGTGCGAGGCAAGGTTTTCCACATCAAGGGCAGTGAGTGCTTGGAACGCGCTGCCAGAGGGAGTGGAAGCAGACACAGTAACAGCATTCAAGAAGCGCCTGGACAAATACATGAATAGGCAGGGAATAAAGGGATACAGATTCTGTAAGTGAAGACAGTTCTAGTATGGAAGGGCAAAATGTGTCAGTGCAGGCTTGAAGGGCCAAAGTGTTCCTGTGCTGTATTGTTCTGTGTTCTCTCTGCATGCCAGTAGGCCTTTTTGGCAGCATCACGAGGTTGACACTTCATTTTTAGGTATGCCTGGTGCTGTCCTGGTCTGCCCTCCTGCACACTCCATTGAACTAGGGTTGATGCCCTGACTTAATGGTACTGGTTGAGTGGGAGATATGGCCATGTGGTTGGAGATTGTGGGTTGAATATCATAGTCATCATTAGATTCTTAATTCTAGATATTTATTAAATTTAAATTCTACCATTTACCATGATGGGATTCAAACCCGGGTCCCCAGGTTATCTGGGTCTCTAGATTAACAGTCCAGCGATAATACCACTTAGCCATCGCCCATATAATCCTGCTGCTGTTGGAGCAGGGATGTCTTGCTGCAGTTATACAGGGCCTTGGCAAGACCATATCTGGAGTACTGTGTGTAGTTTTGGTCTCCTTATCTGAAGAAGGGTGCTCTGGCTATACAGGGAGTGCAGCGAAGATTTACGAAACTGATTCTTGGGATGGCAGGACTGACATATGAGGAGCAACTGGATTCGTTAGAACTATATTCATGGAGTTTAGAAAAATAAGGGAAGATCTGAGAAACCTATAAAACTCTAACAGGATTTGGCAGGGTAATGGGGGAATAATGCTCCAGATAATCAGGGAGTCCAAAACCACAGGTTCACAGTCTAAGGATACAGGGTTGGCCATTTACAAATAAGATTAGGAGAAATTTCCTCACCCAAAGAGTGGTGAGCCTGTAGAATTCTCTGCCACAGAAAGCAGTTGAGTCCAAAACATTACATGACTTCAAGAAGCTGTTGGACATAGCTTTTTTTGTCTAAAGTGATCAAAAGATATGGGGGAAAATGCAGAAACAGGAGACTGAGTAGGTGGCTCAGTTGTTAACACTGCTGCCTCACAGCGCCAGGGACCTGGGTTTGATTCTAGCCTTAGACGACTGTCTACGTGGGTTTTCTCTGGGTGCTCCAGTTCCTTCCCACATCCAAAGATGTGCAGGTTAGGTGGATTGGCCATGCTAAGTGCAGGGTTACTAGGATAGGGTTGGGGTTGGGGTTGGGTCTGGGTGGAATGTTCTTTGGAGGCTTGGTGCAGACTCAATGGGCAGAATTGAGTGCCCAGAATCTTTCTGCACTGTAGGGGTTCTATGGTTAAAAGGATCATATTGGCTGCATGGTCCTCTTCTAGAACCATAAATCAATGCTGCATTCGGTGTGCCAACACAATCACCGTGCACAGAATATCAGAACGGCTGCATGTACAGCCACGCAGTCTAGAGGGATTGTTATTATGGCCCACAGCATGTCATGAGTTGCGAAATCTGTTCAAAATCTATCTGATTTAGCAAAATGTTAGTACCACATTACCTGATGGACGGTATGCTTAATGTGTAGATGGGACTGTGCAGTGATCAATACCACCAATGCTGTCTTGGATAGATGCATCTCAGACAGGTTGATTTGTGAAGATGAGGCAAAGTAGGATTTTCCCACTTAATTCTCTCACCATCTGCCACAGATCCAGTGTAGCAGATAATTCCTTGATCAATAGGGGTGTTACCAGAGCACTTCTGATGATGAATATTCAAGCATCACCGAGAGTACATTCTGTGCTTTTTTTACTCTGTTTCCTCTTGTTGAGGGAAAGTATATGGTAAGTAGTAATGAGTAGGTTTCCTTGTCCATACCTGACCTGATCCCATGAGACCTTATTGGATCTTGAGTTAATGTTGAGGACTCCCAGAGGAACTCCCTCCTGAGTGTATCCCACTGTGCCTGTACCTTTGGTGGATATATCCTGCCAGTGGGACAAGGATACCCAGGGATGGCGATGTTGGTGTCTGGGACATTATCTGTAAAGTATGATAGCATGAGTATGACTATATCAGACTGTTGCTTGACGAGTCTATACTGAGATGTTAATAAAGAGAACCTTGCTGAGTAAACAGGGCTGGGTTTGCTGTTGTCACTTCCAATGCTGGACGGTCAACTGTAACACCTATTCCAAATATTCTGTCTTAATCCACTAAATGTTTTCGAAATTAATGTTCTACATGAGCTACTTTGTTTGAATGCTGCTTGAGGATTCAAGGCTTCATTACCATTGAAATTTTTAGAGTTAGCCTTTGATCAGCTATTCCAGGACTATTAACAGAGATTTCCAAATCACAGATTTCCAGTTGGTGAATGATTTAATATCCACAAATTGCCTGTGAAACATGTTTCAAGAGAGGGTGGAGATGGTAAGGATATTGCCCTTATTAGATGTTGACTGCTTAGTGATCAATATGTATTTACAGGGCAGCAGAAGATTGGAATGAAGACCCCGAGCCCTTCAGTGCAAGCTATTACAGGAGAAGTCTGGATAACGGTGGTTTCCTTTTCCATGTACCGTATAGGGAACGTATGTATCCTGTGTATTTGGAGTGTGTTCTAAACAAAGCACATCTCATGTTAGTTATCTGCAAATGCTATCCTTGAAGCTACTCAAACACAATGACTGACTGGAGGGTTCAACACACTGAGATTCACATTCTTGTCAATTGTGTTCCATGCAGTATGTCATCCAGTTGGAGATACGACCAAGTCTCAGTATGTCAGGGTAATTAAAGGCCCCTCAATACCTTAGCCTGACACGTTAATAGTCACAGAGGACTCAGATAAAATACAGATAGATGGTCTGTGTCAGTCCTGGTAAAATCAGGTCAAAAGATGGTTCCTTGGGCTTTCAATCTGTCAAATGAGTAACTGTCTCCTTAGAGTCTCAGCAAGACATGTTCAGAGGCTTCAATATTGTCTCATTGTTAATGCATAAATGGAAGTTTTCACAGGTTTTCAGTGTAACATCATGAGATAGGTACCAGTAGGCCCTGATTGATCACCTCAAAAGAGGGTCCAACAAGATGGAAAATATGCATTGATGATCCAACATGGACTGACTGCAAACACTTAATACTGGATCCTGGTCCTGGTCCTAATCCTAATCCTAGAAGGAGGCCACTTGGCCCATCGTTTCTATACCAGCTTGCCATAATGGAATCTAGTTCTTGTAGCTCTGCAGGTTTGAGGAACATAGCAGGTCAGGCAGCATCAGAGGAGCAGGAGAGTCGATGTTTCGGGCCTAAACCCTTCATCAGGACCTGAATGAAGGGTCTAGGCCTGAAACATCGATTCTCCTGCTCCTCTGATGCTGCCTGACCTGCTGTGTTCCTCCAGTTCCATTCTGTATTGACCCTGACTCCAGCATCTGCAGTTCTTGCTATCTCGAGTGACTTAAAACCCCACTGCAAAGCCTCTTCTAGGGATGCCCTCCTTGAAGAAGTTATCCTCGTCCCTCTGGAAAGACCTCAGTGGATCTCTCTCCCACTGCAACCCACTGGTGATCTTCTCCACCCTGAAGCACTTCAGCCGAAACGTCGACTCCCCTGCTCATCTGATGCTGCCTGACCTGGTGTTCCTTCAGCTCCATACTGTATTAGCTGTGCATGTTTACTTCCTGTATCCATCCAATTTTCCTTTAAAATCATTGATTGTTTCTGTTTCCATCACCCCTGTGGGCAACAAGGTCTAGGTAATTATAAATTACTGCATGAAAAGGGTCTTACCAACATCACCAGACATCTCTTGGCCTTAATTCTGTATCCCATAGTTCTTGTACCATCAGCAAGTTAGATCTTCTTTCAAAGATTTCGAAAATCAAAATATACCACATCCACTGGTTCCCTTATCTACTCTATAAGACCATAAATCATAGGAGCAGAATTAGGCCATTTGGTCCATTGAGTCTGCTTTGTCATTCCATAATGGCCAATATGTTTCTCAACCCCATTTTCTTGCCTTCTCCCATTAACCCCTGATCACCTTACCAATCAAGAACCTATCAATCTCTTTCTTAAATGCACTCAATGACTTAGCCTCCGCAGCCCTCTGAAGCATTGAATTCCACAGATTAGCCACTCTCCGGCTCAATAAATTCCTCCTCATCTCCGTTCTAAAAGGTCGACCCTTTGCTCTGACGCTGTTCCCTCTCCCAGTCTCTCCTATTTGAAACATCTTCTATACATCCACCATATTCAGAAATGATCCAGAGATTAAAGTCTTTGAGATCCTTCTTTTTAATCTGCTCCCTAGCTCCCTCAATCCTCATTAATGACCTCATCCCCTTTCTGATTCTGTATTTGGCCCAATGTGAACCACAATCTCTGACTGTTTGCCCTCTGCCTTCAGAATGCCCCACAATCATTCAACGATATCCTTGACAATGGCCCCAGGGAGACAGCACATCATCCAGGAGATATTTCTCAGGCCACAGAAATGCCTATCTGTTGCCCTCATTACTGAAACTTCTACCATTACTGTTCTTATTCTCTTTCTGCTCCAGTCTTGTGCAGCTGGACTTTGGCTTCTGTATGGTTGATATGGACGTGTTTCTGTATATGATGCAGATGTGTGTTTGCATGTGATGTAGATGCATGTGGATGTGTGTCTGTCTGTGTCATGAGTTGTCATCAAATCTCCTTTAAATGTGTATGTTATTTCATTCTTAAAAATGGCAGTATTTCAGGACCCAAGGCATCTTAATTCTCTTTATGCACATTTGGATTTGTTAATTTTTTTTGTGGTTAATGTATGAGTTGCTAGTACATTTGCAAAGTATGTTTCTGTTTTCTGAGCTGATGCTATCAAGTTAAATTACAACATGAACAAGTTCTAACTTTGTATTCTCATTGATCCTCAGCAAATAGTATGATTGACATGGACCTAATGAACAACAGTATCGGGATTCTAGTGAGCGCTGCTGTGGACCTTCGCATCTACGGAAAATCCCTGAAACCTGCAGGTAGGACAATCTGTTCCATACACCAACTCATCCACTTACAATCCAGTTATGTTCCCTCCAGCATTTCCAATTTGGCAGCGCCGAGTGCCTAATTCATTATTCCTCTACTTGGTATGGTTTTTCAGTGGTTGGAGTGAAGCTGGACTATGAAGCCTGGGTGTCAAAATTTAAAATTCTAGCCAGTAACCAGACTAACAGAGACCAGATGGAGCCACGCAAGGTAATAACATAAGGCTCAGTAAATATTTGTGTGGGACCGACTAACCTAGCCAGAGCAGCACATCACCAGTAGTTCAGAGACATCAGATATGATATAGAATAAGGTGTGTGTGTTATTGACATCCTTACGCTGACACCTTGTTCTGCTATCAGTTTGATATAACTGATTGACTTGCTAGCCATTGCATGTCAATCACAATACATTATATTCTGTGCATGTTGTATTTATTAGGCTCTGTGTTGAGATATAGTTTTCTCCTTCAGCTGGCAGCCTATTCTGCTATCAAACCGTGTGTGTTTGCATGTGTGTAAGCAATGGTTCTTCTGCGCATACCCTGCCTTATTGGTTTCATACAACTATGTGGCATTTTTGGCCACTTCAGAGGAAAGTGAGGTGTCAACCACATTGTGCCTGTGTTTCATGCATGTGTGAATTTATCTGTGCATCTAATTTTTCGGGTAGATGTCTATGTGCTGTTGAGGTGCATGTATGTGTCTGTGTTTTGGAAAGTAGGTGCACTTTTTGTATTTATTCATGGGATATGGGCTGGCAAGATGAGCATTCATTGTCCACTCCTAAATGTGCATATATGAATATCTAGCTGCATGCATTACTTTGGAGATGTTTGAATGTGTGTGTCATGGGGGTGAATGTCTGTGTGTTAGAATGTACATATGTATGTGATTTTAGTTCTTTCAGGGAACTGGGTATTGTTTCAGCCTTGACTTGAGCACTAATGTGTTGAGCACCCCCATTGTTGAGGATGGGGATATCTCTGAAGTCCCTTCCTCCCATTAGTTGGACCTCCACCCAGGGCAATTAGGAATGGGCAATAAATGTTGGTCCACATCCTATTTTTTTTTTTAATCATAATTTCCTGATCACAATTACTGTTACCAGCTTTTTATTGGAGATTTGTTTAATAAATTAAAATTAAACTCCCCAGTTGCCAGAATGAAATTTTACTTATGCCTCCAGATTATGAGCCCAATTTTTGGATTACAGGTTACACCTCACTAATCCAGCACTTTCTGATCTGGTCCCCTCTGTGGTCCAGTACCCTTTACAGAAGAACCTGCAGTAAGTCTGACTGATTTTCAGAATCTGTAAATAAGATCAATGTTCAAAGTTCAGATAACATAGAGAATGTTGCGTAAATGTATTCCCAGTTCCAATTTCAAGAAGAATAAACATCATTCCATGCTGATGTAAACTGATAGGCAGTGTCAGTGATAGAGAGGATGTGGAGGAGAACCTCTTGAGGCTTCTTGCCTTTGTAACTGGTCACGCCCCCAGGAGTGTACACTGGCAACCACTGAACACAGAGCAGACCATGACACATGACCTTTCGTGGTTTGGTAAATCATTTGGTCCAGCAAAGGCCCACCATTAAGACTGCCTGATTAAAGAGGCACAGCCTGTACCTACAACAGAATCATATTGATCCAAACATCGTTGGGGGATATATCTATGTGCATTTGTATTTTGAATTTATTGGTCTGAGTTTTGATGATAAGATGTGAGGTCCTTATACTGACCTCTGCCCTGTTACTGGACAGTGTATGTGTCAATGACAATCATTATACTGATTCTCGCACTGTTATTGGATTCTGTGAGAGCCTTGTGTCCCTGCAACCAATTAACTGATATTTCTGTTCCCCCTATACATTGTTTGTCATGTCAGCATGATTTGGGTCAGATTCATCAGCCAGGATTTGTGAATGTGACAGGTAAAGCTGTTAGTTTCCAGGTGCATTGGAACATACTGTGTTAGAGACCACAGACACATGCCATGTAAATACAGTCAGAGGAATACACTGACTCTCTCTTGTATTTGTTTTGCTTAGTGTATGCCGTCTTCCGACTGCGAGATGGACTGTGATGTGAACAGTGAGGTGGGTATGAGGAGGATCTGGCAGTAAAGTATTGGTACAGTCATTGAAGCTGGGAATACAGTTAGCATAGTGCAAGGGAGTATCGGAGGACACATGATATTTAAGAACACAGTATCTGAGGTTCACGTCTCTACTCTATTCGCAATTAGCTGACTGTGCCACGGGTGATTTCAGTTGGCCTCAGTGCCCACAACAGGGAAGGAAAACTCAGCTGCTAAATCTTACAATGACTCTCAGAGACTGTGTGTGGAGATATTATTTGAGGATCATATAAAGCAAGCTTGGGATTTCTTGTGTATAGATTTTACCAGTCTAACCACAATAGATACTCCAGTGCCTCTCCTCCTCGTTCCAACTGGGTGGGATTGTTCACACCTGGTTCCACAGAGGTAACGTAAATGGATGAGTAATCCAGAACCCCAGCTAATGTTGTGGGGCCTTGGGTTCGGATCCCACCGTGGCAGATGGTGACATTTAAATTTAATAAAATTTAAAAAAGAAAACTAGCCTATTGGTGACCATATAGCCACAACTGATTGTCACAAAAACCCAGCTAGTTTGCTAATGTCATTTTAGGGAAGGAAATTTACAATCCTAATCTGGTCTGGTCTACATGTGACTCCAGATTCACAGCAATTGAGTTGTCTCTTGACTGCCCTCTGTGTTTTTAGGGATGCACAATAAATGTTGTCCTAGTCAGCAACATCTACATTGATTCATTCACACAAAAAAAAAATGTAGCCAAAGAACCACTTACAATTATTTTTTCTTCTTCCTGTTCCCATGACGTTACCTCTGGTGTCCCCTAAGGATCTATCCTTGGACCCCCTCCAATTTATCATATACTATTCCTGAACTTCTACTTTTCTCTGGTTCTCTCCTTTCTCCTCATATTAGAGCTGAGCTCATGTTGTCCATGAGAACTATTGATGTTCCCTCAATCCTATTACCACAAAATTGCTGATCACCCACTTTCCTTTTGTGGTTCCCACATTAACTGACGTTCATATTTCTTGCTCCTCAGTTGTTATTCCCTCTCCTTCACATCTGGGATCATCATCCCTCTCCACTTGACTCCTTCCATCTTTGGAAATTACTGCCTCATCTCTTTGTGTCCAAAGTTTTTGAACAACTTATTCCCCCCAAAACCATGCCCAGCTTTCCCAAGGCACCAGCCATACAGTCATACAGCACGGAAACAGACCCTCCAGTCCAACCAATCCATGCCGAACATAATACAAAAACTAAACTAGTCCTACCTGCCTGCTCCTGGCCCATATCCCTATAAACCTTACCTATTTGTGTATTTATCCTAAAGTGTTTTTTAAATCTATTAACTGTGCCCACATCAACCACTATCTCAGGAAGTTCATTCCACACACAAACGATCCCCTGTGTAAAAAATTGTCCCTCGTGTCTTTTTTAAATCCCTCTCCTCTCACCTTAATAAAATGCCCTCTAGTCTTGAAATGCCCCCATCCTAGGGGAAAGACACCTACCATTAACCCTATCTATATGCCTCATGATTTTATAAACCTCTATAAAGTCACCTCTCAATCGTCTATGCTCCAGTGGAAAACGTCCCAGCCTATCCAGCCTTTCTTTATACCTGAATCCCTCAGTTGCCAAAGCATTGAAATGGATGTTATCAAAACTATGTACATGTAACATGACATCTGAAGCACTCAGATGGCCCTAAAATGATGAAGCATGGGTTCTTTCTTCTGTTGGCATTAAGTCATTGCAAACATGAAGGGGAATTAAGATTAAACCAATATTTTCATGGAACTAATCCAATGCTTCACATCTAGTTGAGGAAATCCTTTGTCTGTCTAACTCATCTCCCATGAGATCTCCTCCCCCCAAAAGACACCCTTTTCTCCAGGTAGGTTCCATTTGACTGTGCCTTGCTCAGCACCCTCCCTCACTAATGCCACCTGTTACTGGAGGTCCCGTTACACGCAAATGACATTTATTGTGACAATGATAAGCTTTCCCTTATCATTCTTCTTGACCCGCATGTTTGACTACACCAGGCCTTCAATGCCACTCGTCCAGCTGGGTGGAACTGCATTCACCTGGTTTTACTCTATCTAATTGTAGCCAGAATATCACCGGCAATGGCTTTTCTTCCTGCTCCTACTCAGTTACCTCCAGCATCCCCCAAGGATCTCGTATTCATACCCTCTTATTTCTCATCTCCCTAATGGCCTCAGTGACATCCTCCGAAAGCACAGTATCAATATCGACATGTACGCCGATGACATCCGATTCTTCCTCTTCCTTACCTGTCCCAAATTCTCCACTATCTTCAAGGAGGGGGACTTGGATTTTATCCAGCTAAAATAGTTAGGCTTAGAATCATATAGTATAGAAGAGGCCTTGTGGCCCATCAAGTCTATACTGCCAAAAATATCCTACTACCTACACCTGTCCCTCTTTCCTGCCAGCTCCATAGCTTTGAATGTTATGAGTGCTCATCCACTTCTTAAATATTGTGAGTTTTCCTGTCTCAACTACCTTCCCTGGCAGTGCATTTCAGACCTCCTCCACCCTCTGGATGAAAAGTATTTCTTCAAACCCCCTGTACACCTTTTGCCTTTCACTTTAAAATTATTCCCCCTTTTTACTGACCCTCCAGCTAAGGGAAACAACTGCTTTCTATTCATCTCGCCCATGCATCTCATAATCTTATACAACTCTGTCAGGACCCCCCTTGACCTTCTCTACTCCAAAAACAACCTTAGCTTATCCAGCCTCTCTTCACTGCTGAAATGCTCCATTCCATACAACATCCTGGTGAATCTCGTCTGCACCCCCTCCAGTGCAATCCCGTCCTTCCGATAAGTGTGGTGACCAGAATTGCACGCAGTAATCCAGCTGCGACCTAATCAAAGTTCAGTGCAGCTCCAACATAACCTCCCAATTCTTATAATCAATGTGCGACTGATAAAGGCAAGTATCCCATATGCTTTCTTAACTACCCTATTAATCTGTTCGACTGCCTTCAGGGTTCCGTGGCACACCAAGATCCCTCTGTTCTCTGAACTTGCTAGTGTCTTTGCATTCATTGAGGGCTACCTTGTCTTCTTTCTTCCAAAGTGCATAATTCACATTTCATAGAATCCCCTACAGTGTGGAAGCAGGCCATTCAGCCCATTGAGTTCATACCAATCCTCCAAAGAGGACCTAGACCTACCGCACTCCCCTAACCCTGTAATCCTATATTTCCCACGGGCAATCCACCTAGCCTGCACACTATGGGCAATTTAGCATAGCCAAACTACATAACTGGCACATCCTTAGACTGTGGGAGGAAACCGGATCACCCGGAGGAAACCCCACGCAGACATGGGGAAACTGTGCAAACTCCACACAGGCAGTTGTCCAAGGGTGGAATCAAACCTGGCATTAGGAGGCAGCAGTGCTGACCACTGAGCCACCTAGTGGCCTGTCCCACCATTTATCAGGGTTAAATTCCATCTGCCTTTGATCTGCCCATCAGACTAATCCGTTTATATCCTTCTGTAATATAACATCTTCCTCCTCCCTGTCAACCACCCGGCCAATCTTTATGTCATCCACAAACTTACTTATCTTCTCCCCCATATTTCCACCTATATCAGTTTCAGTTGCAGTCTTGTATCACTGTTAGAAGCAGTTATTAAATATTTTCTGGTCAGTGTCAATAATGATATTAAAGACCCTGTTTTCTGTTAATGCTACAAGTCTTCACACCCTGGAAAGCAGCCAACTGACTGGGGTATAAAAATAGCAAATTGAGCTGAGTTAAACAGAGATTTTCACCCTAACAGGTAGTTAGTAAAATGGTTGATTGTCTGAGAGATGCTCGTGTAATTTATTTCACCACCTTGTATTATTGATTTGTAGGATCTGTTGTGTGTATTAATTGATGATGGAGGTTTCCTGATCATGTCCAACCAGCCTGAACACTGGAGCCAGGTAACATGACACTGCAGAGACAGAACCAGAAGGTCTGTAACACACTTTTAAAAATGATGACAAGTAAGTGTTGGGATTTAAAAACCTGAAGAGTAATTAACAATAAAATGTATATTTTTTTTAAAAAGTGGTGAGTTCCAGTGGCCTAATGCATAAAGGCATTGGCCTCCTGAGCCAAGGATTGCAAGTTCAAGTCCCATCTGGAGTGTTTAGTTTTAAGTTCATACAGTTGAAACAAGGCTAAAACAGACAGATTTTTGGCAGCACAGTGGTTCAGTGGTTAGCACTGCAGCCTCTCAGGGCCAGGGACCTGGGTTTGATTCCAGCCTTAGGTGACTGTCTGTTTGGAGATTGCATATCCTCCCCATGTCTGTGTTGGTTTCTATCTGGTGGTCTGGTTTCCTCCCACAGTTCAGAAATTTACAGGCTAGGTGGTTAGCCATGGTAAATGCAGGTTATGGGGATCAGGAGGGGATCTGGGTCTGGACACGATGCTCTTCAGGGGGTCAGTGCAGACTTGATGGGCCAAATAGCCTCTATCTGCACTGTAGGAATTCTATATTATTGACAATTAGATTTTGTCTTAAAGTGACACAACTTGATAAAGATTAATCCACTATGCAGCACATGGAGAGGGACCAGAAAAAAATTGCCAGGATGTTGCTGCGACTGGAGTGTTTGAGTTATTAGGAGGGACTGGATAGGCTGGGATTTTTTTCACTGGAGCTAGGAGGTTGAGGAGTGACCTTATAGAGATTTATAAAATCATGAGGGGCATAGATAAGGTGAATAGCAAAGGTCTTTTCCCTAGGGTGGATGTGTTCAAAATGAGGGGGCATATTTTTAAGGCAAGAGGCGAAAGATTTAAAAGGGATGTGAGGGGTAGTATTTTCACACAGAGGTGGTTTGTATGTGGAATGAACTGCCAGACAAAGCGGAGTATGCAGATACAGTTGCAACATTTGGATAAGTACATGAATAGGTACGGTTTAAAGGGATATAGGCCAAATGTAGGCAGGTGGGACTGTTTTAGTTTCAGAAATTTGGTTGGTATGGACGAATTGGACTGAAGGGACTGTTTCCTTGCTATATGACTCTGATGCTAAAGTGCAAACAGCGCACTGCAGAGGTCATAAGACAATCATTATAAAGACAGAAAATGAACCTGATATTTATTCGCAATTACAGCCTTCGAAGCTATTATTAACTTTGCATGTTTGGCCTAGTAGCCTTAAAAGAACAGGCCAGGTTAGCAACTTATGTCACAATTAGGTTCATCACCCAAACATGAGAAACATATTTTAAAGCCCAAACTATCTGTAAGGAATGGCAAGTGGAAAACCAAAGCATAGACTAAAGGGAAAGAGATAGTGTAGTATTAGTAAATGGAACCAACATGATACAAAGCAGGATTTTTCTCATGAGTATTCTCACACTACCTCATGAATAGGACTTCTGCTGAACAATGATCTTTGTGGGGAAGTGTTTGTTTTGTGCCAGTTTTGGAGTAGGTTTGGCAGACTTCTCAGCTGAGAATGGTTTCAGAAACTTGAATAGTTGGGTAAGAATAAATCAATGAATAGTGAAGAAACAATTCAGATTAATGTGTAGTGAAGATGAGAGGGAATCTGCAGATGTTGAATTTGCAGTATTTGAATACTGATCAAGTTGACCAATAGTAGTCATAAGAATTCAGTGGAGAAGACAGGAGCTACTGAGGGAGGTGATGGTAATTGGGGAAAGAGTGGTAGATACAGGTGTTATGAATAGTTGAGGGAGGACAGTAAGTAGAGAGGAACAAGTGAGAGGAGACCGAGAGGTTTAGATGGAAGTTGGTTAGTGGATGGTTGGAGAAGGGGAAATCATAGAAAGTGAGAGGTGTTTATATAGAGTGAGGAGGTGTGTTGAAGCTACTGGAAGATAGTACAGAGTGCTGCACTGGTAAAAGGGCCAAGGAGAAAATCATGGGCCCTGATGGTTTTCCATGGGTCCCTTGAGAAGAGCCATATCTGACTCTAAATGTTAACTCTGTTCATCATTCTACTATGTTGCCAGGCTTGCTGAGTTTCTACAGCATTCTCTGTTTGTATTTCAGATTTCCAACATTGACAGTATTTTGCATTGAGATGACATTGAGATTCAGTTATGCAGGGTTTTGCCTCCTTTCAATATTCACCAATGAATTATTCACTAAACAATTAGAGAAATGTCCTTGTAACATGGAAACACTTGTTGTTCGCAAGTAGTTACAAATATTGTCTGTTATATGCAATATGGGTCATTAATATTAAGAGCAGCAACAAACCTGTCTCCAACAAACTCTCAGGTAGTGTATACCAGACCTTAAACACTTGCTGTGTTTTCTCTTGTGTCACTTTTGCTACTTTTGGCATTTATTCTAACTCTGTGCCCTCTCATTCTTGATCCTTTCACAACTGGGAATGGTTTTTCCCTGTACTGTAAAGAGATGGAAACAAAGGAACAAACCAAGTAGAAACTAGGTAGATGTGGGGAGCCAAAGAGAGTAACCACCATAAAATAGGACTTCCTCTGTACCTTGTTCTTGGCTCAAACCATCTTCAACTGTTTCATCAGTGATCTCCCCTACTTTATAAGGTCAGGATTGGGGATGTTCAATGATGTTTGCACAATGTTCAGCACCATTTGCAGAATCACAGAGACTGAAGTAATCACTGCCTATATTCAGCAACACATGAACAAGAGACAGAAGTACAACTTTTGGCCTGCTCCAACATTTAATAAGATCGCAACTGATTTGATTGTAAGCTTAAATACACATTTCCATCTCCCTCTGATAACCTTTAACCCCCTTGCTTAAGAAGTATCTATCCATCTCTGACTTGAAAATGCTTAAATGTTTTGCTTCCATCACATTTTCAAAAAGGGAGTTCCAAAGACTCATGATCCTCTGAGAGAAGGAATTTCATTTCATCTCTGGTTTAAATGGGTACCCCTAATTTTTAACTAGTGACCCCAATTCTGGATTCTCCCATAAAAAGAAACATCCTCTCTAATCTACCCTGGCAAGACCCCTCACGATCTTATGTTTCAATCAAGTTGCCTTTTAGTCTCTTAAACTTCAGATACAAGCCTATCCAACTTTTCCTCCTAAGACAAACCGCCATCCCAGGTATTAGTCTGGTAAACCTTCTCTGAACTGTTTCCAATGCACTTACATTCTTTCTTAAATAAAGTGACCACTACTGTACACACGTGGTCTCACTGATGATCTGTATAAATGAAGTGTAATGTCTCTACTTTTGTATTCACTTTCCCTCATAATGCATAACATTCTACTGGTTTTCCTACTTGCTTGCTGTAACTGCATATTAGCCTTTTGTATTTCATGCTCTAGGACATACACATCCCTCTGCATTTCAGGGCTCTGCAATTTCTCAACATTTAGATGATAGAGTCATAGCGAGTCTTAAAGTCATAGAATCAAGTTTTTACAATACAAGGAACGGCCTTTTGACCCATCATGTCTGTGTCTGTCATCAAGTTATTCTAAGCCCAGGCTGCTCCTTATTATTGATGCCTCTATTGAGGGAAGATGTTTCCTCAACTTGTACCCCTCAAAATTTTGTACACTTCTCTCAGGCCAGCCCTTAGACTTCTCTATTCTAAGGAAAACAGCCTCAGCCTGTCTGGTTTCTCTTCATAGTTGAATCACTCCAAACTAGGCAACTTGCTGGTGAACCTCCTCCACATCCTCTCCAATGTAATGACATCTATCCTATACTGTAGTGACTATAACTGCACACACCATTCCATCTGCCGCCTAACTAACAGCTCCTCCACCATAACCTCGTTCCTCATGTATTCAGTTCTTTGACCAATAAAAGCAAATATCTTGTATGTCTTCCTCACTATCTTATCAATCAGTCCTGATGCCTTCAAGGATCAACGAACCTGCACATCAAGGTCCCCCTGATTCTCTGTATTTTCTAGGGTCCTACTATTCTATGTGTGCTCACTTGCCTTGTTAGTCCTCCCAAAATGAACCACTTTTCAGAATTAAACTCCCATTTGCCACTGTTCAACCCAACTGATCAGTACATCTATGTCATTCTGTAATCTAAGGCTTTCCTCCTCACTATTTACCAGATGACCCATTTTCATGTGATCTGCAAACCTACTGATCAAACCTCCTACATTCGTGTCTAGATCATTTGTGTTCACTACAAACAGCAAAGGACCCAGCACCGAACCCTGTGGTGTGCCACTGGACGCAGACTTCCAGTCACAAAAGACCCTTCAACATCACCCTCTGCTTCAAGCCACTAAGCCAACTTTGAATCCAGTTTGCCAAATTGTCCTGGATCCTATGAGCTCTTTGCTTCTTAATCAGCCTGTCACGTGAGAATATGCTTCCTTTTTATTCTTCCTGGAAAAATATACAATTTAACATTTTCCCACATGATACACCATTTGCCAGATTTTTGCCCAATCACTGAACCTATCTATATCCTTCCAAGCATCCTGATGTCCTCTTCACTGCTTATTTTCCTACCTATTGTTGTGTCTTCAGCAAATTGGCAACTATATCTTTGGTCCCTTCATCCAAGTCATGTATATAAATTGTAAAATGCTGACGTCCCAGCACACCACTTGTTAAATCCTGCTAACCTGAAAAAGACCCAAAGACCCATTTTACTGCTACTCTCTACTTCCTGTTAGTCAGCCAATCTTCTATCCATGTCACTATACTACCTCACCATGAGCTCTTATTTTTCCACAATAATCTTTGTACTTTGTCAAATGCCTTCCAGAAATCAGAGTACTTCCACCATTCTCATTTATCCACAGCATACATTACTTATTCAAATAGACTACTTAAACATGATGTTCCTTCACTGGTATGTGGCAAACAATATTCCTGCCATAAATAGGAACAGGAGTAGGCCATTCAGCCCCTCAAGCCTGTTCTGCCATTTAATAAGACCATGGCTGACCTGTGGTCTAACTCCATATATCTG